CTATCCACTCACCTCAGCCTCCCAAGGTGCGGGATTACAGGCTGAGCCACCGAGCCCGGCTGAACTATTTCTCATTGCCTACATGAAAGTCTAATCTCCTGGGCTCACGACCCAAGGCTCTGCTTGCTCTAATCTCAATCTGGCTTTCCAGGCTTTTCCCCCATTATTTTGCTGCACAAACCTGCTCTGGTCAATCAGTGTGATCCTCTCTTTTCTGAATATATCCTATACCATCTCTCCTTTTTGCTCCTTTCTTATACTTTTCTGCCTTTTGAAATCCTTCAAAGTCAAATTCAGATCCCAGTTCTCTCAAGACACATTTTCTCACCACTTAATTCTAACAAATTTATTTCCCACATCTCTGAAATTATTACTCCTTTCTTCTACCACTCATTTGACATTAGTGCACATGGACTTTTAAAAAAATTATATTTGATTTAAAAAATGTCACCTTCCAGCTGGATTGATGACTCAACCTGTAATCCCAGCACTTTGAGAGGCTGAGGCAAGTGGACTGCCTGAGCCCAAGAGTTTGAGACCAGCCCGGGCAACTTGGTGAGACCTTGTCTCTACAATAAATCAAAAAATTAGCCGGGTGTGGTAGCGCGTGTCTGTAATTCCAGCTACTTGAAAGACTGAGGTGGAAGGATTGCTAGAGTCCAGTGATTTGATGCTGGGGTGGCCGTGAGTATGCCCCTGCACTCCAACCTGGGCAACAGAGTGAGACTCTAACTAAAAAAAAAAAATAAATAAATAAATAAAAATGTCGCCTTCCACCGTGAAAAGGCAGTCATGTATGATGAAGCATAGAGTGAGCCCTCACCAGAAACCAACTCTGTCAGTGTCTTGATACTAGACTTTCCAGCCTCTGGAACATTAAGAAATAAATTTTTGTTGTGCATACACCAAAAAATAATAATTAAAAATAAATAAATTAAAAAAAAATGTCCTGTATGTGAAACTAGAGCAAAGACCTAGAACCAAGAATACATTAGCCTTGATTGGGTTGTTGAATTATTGATAGATTATTAAGAATTTAGTGGACGTGTTCATATGTGTACCTTAAGAGGGTGCCTTGACTTTGACTTGATGCATATTGAGGGAAGAAGGAAGAGGGATTTGTAGGAAATTTAGTGTGTTTCCTAAACTTCTCCATCTTGTATCATTGACATCAATAGTGAGGTGATAAGAGGAAAGTAGAAAGACAAGGAAGAGAAAAATAAATAGGAAGAAGAACCGAGCAGAGATTCTCAGTTTTTCTGAAACATATATTACAACTGGCCAGAATTCACAGTTGCCTGGGTTTTATTTCAAACTGCTAGGAGGTGTCCATTAAAAAAATACCCTCCCCAAACTACAAATGTCTAAAATATCACAATTCATTTGAATTGAGTTTTGATTCCTATTGAACAGAATACTGTGAGGATAGATTCCATTGGACAGTCTCTCTTACTTGTATTTAATGAGATTGCATTTATCTGTAAGATTTTGTTTTTAATTAGAAAAGGGGAGGTTGGGGGAGGATGGGAAGAAAAAGCACTGAAAAGGAAAGAAAGGACAACAAAGCCTAGGGAGAGGGGTAGGAAAATGAATCAGAATTCAGAAAATAGGACACATTTCATCTACCTCAAAGTTTTGCCCAGAAAATGATGCTACCAAGACCTAACAAGTCATATGCTAGGAATCGCCTGTTCCTGCTCAATTTCTATTCAGATGCTGAGGGCTCTGCTCACGTGGTGGCAGCCAAAATTTCATGAAGACAATAACAATAGTATTACCACAGACAAATAAATAATAAAACTCAGCTGAAAAATGGCCACTTCAGATGGAAGAAACCATGAGATAAGTAAGCTTTGTTTAATCACAGGGTTGAAACATGTCCTTTACTCATGATTGTCACTCTCCTCCCCCATAAATCTAATCAACCTGAACTTGATACTTACAAAAGACAGAGTAAACAACTAGCATAAGTACACCTTCTTCTTTGATGTGCTCTTAAATCAAGTCCAAATGAGCATGCAAACAGCCAGTCTCCCAACTGAAAAGATCAGGACAAAATGTGCCCTCTGAAGCTTGTGAATCACATGTGCCTCCTGTAGCTCACAGTGAGTTTCTGTCTCTCACATACTGGATTGACCCATTGTAGCTCAGAATTAGTGACTACATAATCTGACCTTGACTTGCTAATCACCCCTTATTTCTTACTACTTCACAAAACAAAGCCATTTTCTATACCATCTAAGAAATAGAATTATGGAGTAATAGACTTGAAAAGGCCCTCAAAGATGATCTAGTTCAACACTCTCAATGAGGAAACGAATACATTGAGAAGAACAGAACTTGATGAAATTTCCAGAATTAAAAACTTCACTTTCTCTTCCTTCTCCCGCTAGCTGTAAGGATACTATGCTTATTACTGAATGTGGGAAACGAAGCAATGAGTCCAGTTGTAAGAACTAAAAGGGAAAAGGAGTTAGTAGTCTGGCTCAAAGTCCTCTCTGTTCCCTCTGGAGATGCAAAGAGGAGATACACTGAGTTCTGAAAGTCTCAATCCCTTCCTAAGAAACTGTTAGGGTCACACTCCCAGCAGGGCCTCCAGAATGTCAGGTCAGGCCTGCTGGGGGTATGGGGTGTCTGGTGTGCCATCTGATGCTGCATGAAAAATGCAAAGAATTGCACAGAAGTTAGAATAGAAAATATAGTTTATTTAAAAAGTAAATGAGAGAGAGAGAGAAGAGAAGAGAAGAGAAGAGAAGAGAAGAGAAGAGAAGAGAAGAGAAGAGAAGAGAAGATGAGAGAGAGGAGATTCACCTCCCCAAGGTAGGGAAGGAGGCCAAAGCCAGGAAGCATGGCCACAGCCATCACTCAAAGAGCACGTGGCCACACCAGAGTCTAGTAAGGCAATGGCCATGATGGTCTGGCAGTGGCCAATGGCTGCTTGTGATTGTGTCCTTTTAACCATTTCCCTTGGATGGGGGAAGTTCATTAAGGTGATTGGGTGGCGGTCTGCTCCATGTCATTACGAAGGTGCAGGTAAGCACGGATACTGGTATCAGGTGATGGACAGCAGGCAAATGGGTGAGTTAGTCACATGATAGCTGCCATGGTGGTGGGTAGATGGAGGAGACAAGGGGAGGGGATTTTTCTGCAAGAGACCCAACGTTTCTAATCCACAAATTCCTCGGCTAAAAAGTGGTCTATTATCATTTCTATGGCTCTTTCCTTGTCTTGCATCTAATGGAGATTTGCCAAGGGTTGGGGTAGGCTGCCAGTTTGGCCGCAGAAGAATGTCTGAAAGCTTCCTAAAACCTGCCTCTTGGAAATTTATCTATTTTTATCTAACCTGTGCTAGATTTAAAGCATGTCAGATTTATAGCGTGTCAGGGGTAAAGTCTAAGCAAAATGGATGTGCTGAAGCAAAAAAACTATACTCAACTAAGTTTATTCTGGGTTTCTATAGGCACCTCCTTTCAGAAACCCTTATCCATGCCTCTCTGCACTCTTTAAGAGAAATGGTTCTTGATCAGTCAGGCTCCTTTCTTTCTTTTAAGACACAGAGGGAGTTACTAGGTACAAAATGTTGAGAGGCTGCAAAAGCAACAACCGCTACCAAAAAACTCAGTAATCAAGATAAATACTATTTTAATACAATAGTTTTAGAAAATAAATTTAATGTGAAATAATTCTTGATGAACAAATATTAAATTTTTAAATAACAGGATATGACCTGCACTAGTACAATTCATGTTACTCATCTCACGGTAACCCTAGCCGTGTCAGATAGGATCTTTAAAATTTAGATACATCAAAGATTTTCATTAATTTTGACTTTTAAAAATATTGAATTAAAATATTATTTATCTAGATTACCAGTTTTTGTTTGTTTGTTTGTTTTGGTGCTCCCTTAAATTTTGCACCTGAAGTGACTATCTCACTCACTTTATCTAAATCTCAGTCCTGTCTCCAATTCACTCATGGCTCTCATCAAATGACCCAAAGACAAGGAACGAAAAAAGGAAACATATGTAGAGTTTATGGTTTAATTCAGTAAAGATTTTTTATTGAAGCAGGGTAAAGCCATTGCAACTAAATAATATTGGAAGGATAAATTAATGACCAGTGGCTACCCATTTTACTCAAAGCATCACCCTGTGTCCATAGTTCAGGTCTATTCTGGGGACACCAGCCCCAGTGTCGCTAAGAGAGACAAGATCTCAGATTCAGGTGCTGATCTAAGTTATTCAACATATCCCTGGAAAGTAACTGGCCCCAAATTATCACAAATGACAAGAACAAACCCCTCTATGGGAGTAATGCGGTAATTGCAGGCAGGATATCTGGTGCCTTCAATGAGACGACAGACAGTCATTTTAAACTTTGTCTCGCTTTGGAAGCAGAAAATGGTCGAACGATTTTGGCACGCTGCCTTCTTGGGAGAGTGGCAAATACTATTGATTTTCTGAGGCCTCTCATGGATGAAGACATGCTCCTTTCTACAAGTGTGATCAGGCTGCCTAATGGTTCTTTGTATAATCAGGTAGTTGCAGTATCTTGATGGAACAGGAACGTCAGTCTGAGGATAGTCCACATGCAGGTGCTCTAAGGTTGATATCACTACTTCCTCATTTACCTCATTTTCCCAGAACAGAAGCAGGAAGAAAATCATCACCATTATTATCATCAGGGGTAAGAGTCCCTTCACATCTTTGGTTTTAACGTCTGTTGAACAAGGAGACAGAAAGTAGCAAAGGATAGTCAGACTCCCCTGCACCAGCACCCGGATGCTCCCCTATCCCTGATATTTTATTTCCTTCTCTCTGCTCATGAAAATCATGCTGCCTCTGCAAGATCCAACTGGCGGTACAGCTCCCCAAGAAAAAGCCCTTTCTGACCTTTACAGATCTCAGAGTTTGGTAGTAAACTGTTCTCTAACTATTCCTGCTGTGCTTGTCTGTCTCTACAAGTTCTTTGATAGCAGGTACCACTTCTCCTATTTTTCTTGAATCCTTCAAAGCCTCCACACAGAAATGGACATATACAAGGTGTCAAAAACATCCATGCCAGATCGTTTTATTCATATTGTTGAATAACTTTCTTTCCTGTAATTTTCTCAACCCTAATTCCATCCCATTTCACATGACTTTAGTACCTTCTACTGATCTGCTCTTCCCAATTTCTTCCCAATTCCTCCTTGAGTCCATCCTGCTTGGCGCTGTGCCAGCAACCTCTCACCTGTCATTTTTGCTGTCGCTTTCACAGGTAACATAGCCTTTTGATCTGGGATCTGAGAAAATCCCTTGTGTCTTGCTGTTCCCTGACAATGACTGATAGGGAGTCAGTTGAATGTAGGGAGGACCAAAGAGGGAAGAGCAGAAAGGGAGGGAGCTGTAGCGTGTGTTTAGGCACCGCAGGGAAGAAAGTTACCTTCAGAGAAGAGTTGGGTACAGCAAGTCCTGAATGTGTCCTCATTAAATAAGTGTGGACTGCTCAAAACATTTAGTGAAATCTGAATGTTCCAGCCACAGTACTGTTTTCTAAATTTTCAATCAGTCTTTGCCACAACCCTATGAGGTAGCTATTATTTTTCATTTCACTTATAAAAATAAATGAGTTGCAGAAAAGGTTGAAGTGGAGATGGGAGGTGACAAGGATAGCAAGAGTCACCCTCTCAAGGCTGAACACTTGAATTCTAGTTTCAGCAAGTTTTATTTTCATGTGGTATCTAGGACAGAACTAAAACAATTTCCTGGCACCAACTTTCATCTTGGTAAAGTCCTGGGCTTCTGAAGTTCCCAAGCTGTGAAACATTGGAATCACCTGGGGATTAAAAAAATACTAGGCCAGGCATGGTGGCTCACACCTATAATCCCAGCACTTTGGGAGGCTGCGGTGAGAGGATTGTCCAAGCAACTTGGCGAGACCTCATCTCTACAATAAATCCAAAATAAATACTAGCTCTCACCTTAAGACATTCTGCTTTAGTTGATGTGAGTGTGATCTGGGTTGGGGGTTATTAAAAGTGATTCTAATATACAGCAAAAGTTGGGAACCATTGAATTATAATATACTTGGAAAACCTACATGGGAAATTAGTGGATGAGGACTAAGTAAAAAAGATACTGACTCAAGGTATTAAGACAATAACATCTTTTTGTTGCTATCGTCTTCTATTCAGTTAACACAGGAATGGAAAAATTGACTTAAGTTACTACTTCTAACCCTGAAATAACTTCCCTTTTGGATAGACAACTGCAAATTATTTTCTGTACATAATTGTGTTTTTCTAATTGGTGAGAAGGAAATCACTGTAGTGTCAAAAATGGTCTAGGAGGAACAGAGATTCTGGAGAATGTGTGTCTTTTTATACAAAAAACCTAAAAGCATAATTTCAGATATGAAAGTCAACAACCAGAGATTATTATTTCCTTCCCCACAACCTTCATTCTGGATGTCCTTTTAGGATTCAAATGGTATGCTTTGTATATGTGTTGCACAATGCTACAAAGATAGAAGTGCATGGTTAATACTTGAAAAAAATTTTAATTAACAAAATTCGATTTTGCACATCTCAGAAACATTTCCGATGTATAAAGAGAAATACATCTGTGTACTATAATATGTTTATTATTTCTTGCCAGAACTTCCAAGTAGCTGAATTCCAGACTCTTTACTAAGTTTACAGGCAGGGGAACAATCCCTGTTACAGTTTCCTCAGCTGAGGCAACTAAACCTGTCCCTGCATTTCATACTATTATACTCTAGAAAAAGAGTTGAGACTGAGTACAAACATTAACTAGTGATGGCAGCCTGGAAGAAAACATTTGGGAAGCCTCAAGCTTCCCAAAGATTAGCATATAGTATAACTATAAGGAACTCTCTCACATCATCAATCAAAAGACAGAAAATCCCAGAGGGAAAAAAAAAATTGTCAGAGGAAAGCCAGTTTCAGAAGATGAAGCCAAGATGGGTAATGAACAATGCTCTACTTCATCAGTAACCAAAGAAATGAAAACTAAAATAACAAAGAGATATCTGTTTATAACTGTCAGATTATTAAAAATCAGACAATTAAGAAATATTAAGTGCTAGCATGAAAATCAGCATGGCAATACTAGAAAGTAATCTGGAAGCATCTGGTTAAATTAAGAATGGCTATACCCTGAGATTTTTGTAATCCCTCTCTGCTCATAGACTCTTAACAAAATATTGCATTCTTTTTTTCTCTATCAAACTAATTCTGTTTTCTGCCCTACGAAACTAAGAAAAATTTCAATTCATGTAATTATTAAAGTTTTCTCTTCCTCCCTAGATTTCCAAGGGAATCTGAAAAGTGTATTGTTCTTACTCCTTCTTACTGTGGGACCTGTAGTGTCCAACAACATTAGCTAATGGACATTTTTATTTGCTTCTCTTATAAAAACTCCTGGAATACAGGGTTCAGATCCAGAATCTTGACTCATCATATTAAGATTTGATTTTCTCAGGCACCTACCATATCGGATTTTTGCCTCTACAGTGACGTACTTTTATTATTCACCTATTATTCCGTGTGACATATATTAATTGAAGACCTACCTGTGCCAGACACTATTCTAGGCACTTAGAACACAACAGTGAAAAGACAAATATCCCTTATCCCCCTACTGACTCTGAATCAATTCCTCAATATGAAAATTGGTAATTAAAATAAAAGAATTGCACATTTATTCTGCCTATACTGTAGTAACTATATTTCTGGATATGGCTTCCATGTGATGAGTGAAAATTCTTCCTTAGGGAACAATAAAAATGAAAAAATATGAAAAAAATGATAAAATTAGAAAATGATCACTTTATAATCGTTAGTGAAACTATTAAGCCCAGCAAAAATTATGTGCTGGGTGGTAAAACTATTAGGAGAGAGGTTGTGGGGAGCTTTGCAATGGGAGATCTCTGCAACAGAAGATCACTGAAAGTAGAGGCAAGTAGAGGTGCCTCCTAATATGGTACAAGAGGAAAGTGCACAGCTCTGTTTATGAAGTTATCATGCTGAAGAAGTGAGTTTATTAGTTTATTCAGCCTTATTAGTAACTTGTAACTTCCAGTGTATAGGAAACTTACTGGAAAAGGTATGAGGTGAATAACACCACAAGGAGGCAAGAAGGCAAATCCAGAATATGAGACATTCTACAGGGTAGCTCACCAGTTTCTTCCGAATGTCAATGGTACAAATCAAAGAGGGAGAAACTGTTACTAGAAGAATATTCAGATTTTGAATCTTATCTGAATTTGAATGTGAACTGTATATTTGAATAAGAATGTAATTTTACTTTTATTAGTTGTAATAATTATGATTGTGTAGAAAATGTCTATTTTTTTGCATAGATATTTAAAAGAATGTGTGAAAAAACACGATGTTAAGTATTTTCCTCCAAGAAATAAAGGAAGAAAGAAAAGAAGGAAGAGAAAGAAAAGAGGAAAGCAGAAAAAGAGAAGAAAACATAAAGCCAAAGTGTATATTTTTGATAATTGTTGGCTTTAGGAGGATAAGTATAATAGGATCTGTTATTCTATTCTCTCTAATTTTGTGTATATTTGCAACTATTTATTTTTAAAAATTTTAATTTCTGCCCTCATGGAATTTACATCTGGTGAACGGAGAGAGACAATGATAAATAAACACAATCAATCAATATTTCAGTGTTTTGGAAGATAATAAGTGCTGAGAAAATTTAAATAGGATGGTCTGAGTAGTCCAACCATAATGGGGTTTCTCACCAAATCCTTATATTCCTTAAGAATTTACCAGTTCTTCATATAACCATGGGCTTCAGGGAAATCTACCCTTATCCACATAACCGTGAGGTTTAGGTGAATCTGCTGGGCTCTGGGCGTGGATTCCAATGAAGTCAAGTCAATCAGGAAAATCCCATTCATGTGGGGCCAATGAAAAGGAAGGAGTATTCAGCTGGAAGTTTTTGAAAACCTAGGGTAAGGTTGTGCTGTGATAACAAAGACAACATCAATCATTAGTGACTTGAAGAAGTTAGAAGATTATTTCTCTTGTTTAACAGTTCAAGGTGAGCACTCCAGGTTCTGTTCACACAATCATTCAGAAACTCAGAATTACTAAAATATACCCTCCCCTCCAAATTAAACATTTTTAAGGAAAATATCTAAGAATTAATTCAATTATATTGAGTGGTGAATACCTACCAAGTTATCTACTCAGCCAATTTTTAAATTTTCGGTTTTTACTTTTAACAGACAGATAATTATGTATCTATAGGATACAATGTGATGTTTTGATATATATGTATTATGCATGGTGGAATGACTATATTAAGCTAAATAACATATCCATCACTGCAGATACTCATCTTTTTTTGTAGTGAGAACATTTAAAACCTACTCTTTTAATAATTGTGAAATATATAATACAGAAGCAGTTCCAAGGAGGTTAATTGGCAGTGAAGGAGCTAAGAATACCTTGGAGTAGGAAGCTCATTCAAAGCAGAAAGTACCTGAAGGACAGACCAAGAATGGGAAGTCGTTTTTTAAATATTGTTCTTAAACCCTGACACAATGATGAGAAAGTAGAAGCTATGTCCTGGAGAAATTCATTTTTTATCTTGTTCTAAACCCTGACACAATGACGAGAAAGTAGAAGCTATGTCCTGGAGAAATTCATTTTTTATCTTG